TGGAGCAGGGTCTGGCACACAGTGGGGCTCAAGCTCTATTTACTGGGTGACAGAAAGCAAGGAAGGAAGGCAGAGAAGAAAGGGTCAATCAATAAGCCCATTAAGAAACAGCAGAGATGGGGGCCAGCAGGTGGCATGGTGGTTGAGGTGCTGGACTCCCACATGATTGGGCCGCAGTTTGAGTCCCAGACCTGGAGGCTTGCTTTCTCACTTTTCAGATCTCTTTCTCTCTCTCTCTCTCTCTCTCTCATGAGTGCCCTATAGCAAATTTTAAAATAAAAGTATTAAATTAATAATTCTTTTTTTTTAAAAAAAAAAGCAGCAGAGATTAATAATTACATGAATAAGGGGTATATGAATAGGGTTGAGAGTTTAGAGCATAAGGATCTAGAGACCCAAAGCCAATGGGATTTCTGCCCCAGAGGCAAAGCATCCCTTCTTCTACCTGCACCACCTCACATGTCTAATCTGTTCCAAAGAGACCAGACTATCTCTCCTCCCCTCTTCCTCTCAAGTGCACCATGGGAATGTCCCAAGGGCCAGCCCCACCAACCATGTCCAGAGGAGCTCCCCAGGGCTCAGCAGTGAAGGCAGGTTGGGGACTCCTTTGCCAATGTCCCAGGGTATGATGAGTGAGATAACAGCAGGGCATCTGTGGTGTGAACAAAACGGAGCAAGACGGCAGAGAACAGCCCAGGGGGAGGCCACAGAGACCTGAAGACAGGGCTCTGCAGTCTGTTCCACACTGCCCTGAGTTTCTGCAGAGCCCCCCGACCAGGGCAACCCCAGGTTGACTAGGCCCAGGGCGGGGATGGAGGGGGTTGGCTTTACCTGCCTCCTTTTCTTTTATTTTGTAAGTGTATATACTTATTTATTCTATGAGAAAGAGGAAGAAAGGGGTACCCTAACAGGGCCTTCCCACCAGGACAGCCCCCAGTCTCAGCCAGCTGGATCCTGGGCACGAGCTCACACGCCCAGTGTGCTCAGCGAGATTGTGTGACGTGAACCCAGCATCATCCCCATGTGGGTTCAGGTGCAATACGGCTGTCCCCCAACCTGGCCCTGCCTTCATTTTTAAGCCAGGACATTTGCATGCATACATTGAACTTCGAGATAAGATCGTCCTGGAGCAGAGTTTTCAAAAAGAGTTTGAAAACCACATTGTTGACCACTGTCAATATACCCTGAGATTTCTCTCCCAGCAATGAATCACTTTCATTGGTCAAATTTATTTGGCCAATAAATTTTATAACATTGCACTGATATACACATATTTTGTCTGAGTTTTTAAAATAAATCAGTAAAAGTCACCACAAGCACAGTAATTAACAAAAATTTCCGGATCCTTGGGACCAGCAGTTGGTGCAATAGCTATGTTGCTGGGCTCCCATGCAGACGACCGCGGTTCAACTCCTGAACCCGGTGGTTTAAACTCACGCAGGGCATGTATGTGTGCTCCCCGAGGAGAATGGCGGAAGAGGGATTGCAGCATGGCCATTCCCCCTGGGGGGGTGATTTCTCACTTTCTGTCTCTCTGTCTCTCTCTGTCCTTCTGGCGAGCGCACACGCCCTATAGCAAAAACCTCTCAAACAAAAACAAAAAAAAAGAACTTCCAGATCCTAAAACCTGGGAAGCATGTGGAATCGCTCCTTGGCCTCCAGGACTGCCAGTCATGAGCATGAACGTGGTGACCAAGGACTCCGAGGTCTGTGGGCAGACATGGCGTCCATTACTGTCGCATACAAGCCCACCTTTGTACCAGGAGCAGAGGCAGGAAAGAAAGGACTGAGCCCAGAGGCGCCATGCCACGCAGCCTGGCACAGACTGCATAGTGGGTGGGCGGGGCCTCTAAGGGGGTAGGGGAAGGATGTACAGAGCGCCCCCTGCTGGGTAATACCTGCCGCGGGGGGTGGGGGGGTGTACATAGAAATGGCCTGACCTGCATATTGCATCTCCCAGGGGAGCATTTTACAGACGTGAACACGTGACTCTTAGCTCCTTTGACTTCTCTCTCTCTCTCTACCTCCTTTCTCTGTCTCTCTGGCTCCCTCTCCATCTCCCTGTAGCCCCAAGGCCATTCAGGGGCAGAGGAGAAGTCCTCCCTACCAATCTCCAGGTCACCCTGAGCCTCTGTCTTGGCAGCTAATGATGCACTCGCCTGCAAAATTAATAGTGTATCTACTCGATTTATGCATGCCTCTTCCCTCCTGAGTTTAACACGATTAAAAGAACGTCGGGCGCCCGACTCCTGAATATGGATGAGCGCCTGTTCCCTGCCTGGGCCGCCCCTGCTTCCCTTAATGCTGAACAGTGGGGAGATCGATACATGCCGGCTCAGATGTTCTTGTGCAGCACCAAGAGAACCCATCAAGGATACCAAGGGGGGAAGAGAAAGAAGGAAGGAGCTGGAAAGTGGTGCAAGGGTACCAGGCACAGCTGGGCCCTCCCTGCTCAGGCTCTGACCAGATCTAGGGCTGCCATCAGTTGGCTTCTGGGAAAATGGAGGCCAAGCTTGGCCAGGGTGGAACTTCCCACACCTGCACATTCAGGTTGGCAGCTGGGCTTTCAGTCCTGGTCACCTGGGCAACCAGACAAGCTCGAAAGCATCTGGGCTGTCTCCTGGCTGGGAGTGGGTGCCGGTCTCTCTGTGTCCTCCCCACGCACAGAGTGGCCATGATGTTCACACTGCTCCATTCGTTCCATGACCCTCTGGCCACCGTGGCTGAGTATTTTTCAAAAATATAAACTATAGGAAGACCAAAAGTTTTACTGTTGATAACTTATATGTTTACATTTCTTAGCTCTTTATCAAATGAACCAAAAAATTAGCTTCTGGAAAGTTCAAACCAAAAACCAGGCTTTTTTCTGAATAAGCTTCCTCCAGGAGAAAAGACGTTGACCAGTAATTGGATATCTATTGGCAAAAAGGATGACCGGACTTAAGGGTCAATGGTAGAGGAGGAGTGACCTGGACCTGTTATTAATTTTCTAAACTTTCTTCCTTCCTTTCTCCCTCTCTCTTTTTTTTTATCATTATTATTTTTTAATTCACCAGTGAGAGACAGAAAGAAAGACAGAGAGGGAAGTGAGAAAGCAAGTTGCCAGGGCTGGGACTCAAACTGTGATCGGCCATGGAGGAGTCTGTCACCTCAACCACCACACCACCTGCTGGCCCCTCTCTCTCTCTTTCTTTCCTGAGAGATCAAGAGCCCTGGCAGAGTCTTGCCACAGTGTAATCATCCCCCAGCCTTCTAGGCAGCCAGGATCCAGCATGATTCTGGGCATACCTGGCCTATTCAAGTCAACCCAGATCCAAACCTGAGACCTGCCCACATGGCTTCCATATCCCGCAGTAGAGCCTACCAATGGAGCCGTGCAGCTGGGCCTGGGTGTGTTATCACGTGCTCTTCTGGACCTGTTATTCCTATTGGGTGGAAAAATCAGCTATGTAAAATGATAACACCAGACATTGATTCACCAAACATTCATTAAGCTTTAGATAAATACCAAGCACCACGCTGATCCCCAGGGCTGCAGAAGTAAACGAAATAGACACATCCCCTATACTCCAGGACCTCCTCCACCATCTGTCTGGTGGAGCCTGAAATACTCCAATAAGCAATTGTGATAGAAAGTTACTGGACATTGGGAGAAATTGCAACCCAAGCAAAAAGGGTGGTCTGCGAGTCATTGATGCCAGAGAGACTCTGCAGTCTCCCAAGGTATGAACATAGTAGACATTTAAGAAAGAGCCATTTTGTGTCAATTTTGCATGCCCTGCAAGAACCCAAGTGTCCCTCATTTAAATTAATTTGCATATTGTGTTAGAGAATGATGCCTATCTTATGAATAATGTCCTTGAGCACCGGGGGACAGAAAAGAGCCCAGCTCCTTTATCACATAACCCTGATGGATAGAGACACTGAGGTCAGCCCTGCTAATACTCTGGGCCCCTTTCGCGGAATCATTTATCAACTGACTTGTCCCAGATGACAAAGCCCTGTAAAGGGCACTATGTCCTCCCCTGGCTCTCAGACGGTAGTAATGCGGGACAGAACGCACATTTCATTGGCTGCTGGTGAGTTCATCCTGGGCAGGCCAGAGGGGGATATGAGCCCTGAGACCCCTTGGGTGATATAATCCCAGGGGTGTCCAGAGGCCACCCAGGCACCCCTTTTCCATGTCCCTGTGTACAGCTCACGCGTGTCCCACACTGCAAGACTCTGCTCCCTTCCAGCTTCCCAAGAAGAGGTCACTCCTAGGAGGATCAGAGAGTAGCACGAACTTGCCAGCGATGGCCCTGGGAGGAAGGGGGGCTGATGTCGTTTAGAGTGATGCACCAGCATCCTGTCCTCCCCAGAGTCCCTTCTCAGGACTCTGTGTGACTCTTGCCTGCCCTCACCCCACCTCTGCCCTGGCCATGCCCCTCCATTGCCCTGTGCCCTCTAGAATTTCTCCTTAAATGACAAATGTCACTTGCCTCCCCCACCTGTCATGGACAGTCGTTTTATTTTGCTACCGAAGCTTGGGCCCAGCCAGCACCCAGACCCCTGAGGCTGAGCATTTCCGTACAAATGCTGATGTGCTTGACTGAGCCAAGATACAGTGTATTCTGGATGGAAAGTCTCATTTTGTATGCTATAATGATGTATAGTAAGTGAATGTAAATAAATACATTTAAATTTAAAAAAGAATAGGCTTACCAAGAAGCTTCCTCACACAGGAGCTCCCCCCCCCACCCCCGTTAGGAGTTCCAGTGACGTTCGCTCAGGGAATCAAATTGTCTTCGACAGTTGCATAAGCACAGGTGTGGAGGGTGGGGTGCGACTAGGAGCAAGCGAGACAGTCTGTGCCTCCTCCTTGATCCTCGGACCTCGCAGAGTCCCAGGGCACCCAGCATCACCAACCCTCCCACACACACCCAGGACGGCCCCGCCTCTGCCCCTACCTCCTAGAACTGGGGACAGACTCCGTGTCCTCTGCCCATCCACGTCCACAGGCATCCGGATGCTGGACCAGCCATTCATGACAGACATCATCGAGGCCTCATCCATCAGCCACATGCCGCAGCTCATCGACATCTACAGCGCCAGCTGGGGCCCCACAGACAACGGGAAGACGGTGGACGGGCCCAGAGAGCTCACGCTGCAGGCAATGGCTGACGGTGTGAACAAGGTAAAGACAGACACTCCAAGGCGGGCCCAGTTGGGGGAGCAGTGATGACAGTACAGTGGACGAGGGGCAGGGCAGGTGCACAGGTGGGGCTGGTACCCTGTACGCTAGGTCAGGTCCTGAGAAACGGTCCCCTGCATGCAAGGGACATCTGTGAAGGACAAAGGGGGGGATGGGGAGCCTCATGCTGTGGTCAGGACTAGCTTCTGGGGAAGGGAGCAGGAAAGAGAGTTGGAGAGAGGCTCTCTGACCGTGGTCCCCCTCTGAGGAGTTTTTGCTGGACCTATCCCACCAAAGTCGCCCACCACAGCAGGAGTGGGCCAACACCTACACCCCACCAACTCACCCATTGGTTCAGAGCAGCTGAAGGAAGTGCAGTCTCAGCACAAACGAAGTGGTGGATCTTGGGGCAGCAGCTGGGACTGCAGCTCCCCAGTATTCCTGGGGAGGAGATCTCAGTGGTGCATTTTCATGATGGCAGCCCCCTGAATTCAGCCCCAAATTGAACAGAGCCAAGGAGAAGGACCGAGGCAGCCAGGAGACATAGGCCAGCAGCCACCTAGTGAGGGGAAGGAGGCGCTTCTCTGAGCTCTCACAGCAGAGGCCACCCCAGACACAACACGAGCCCAGGCTCAGGGAACAGAGCATCCCTGGGTTCAAGTCCCACTCCACCACTCAGTGTGCCAACTCTACCAACAAGTGACTAACCTCCCCCAGTCTGCCTTCTGGCGTGTAAAATGGTGATAGCATGAAACCCCTTCAGGGTCCTTGTGTGGCGTGAGTGAGATGCAGATGCTGGTACTCAGCAGTGGGTCCGTGTTTGTCCCAGTCCCTGCTGAGCATCACCAGCTGCCCCAGACCTTCATCACGTAAAACACGGCCACTTCACTAGGCCAAGGGTGCTGGCGGTCCAGAACCCAGACAGGGTCTGGGATGACTTGTCTCTGCCCCACGATTCCCAGGGCCTCAGATGGAAGATGCATGACTTGAGTATCACCAAACTCTTGCGTCTCTATATGCTATTTGTTTTGTTATTGTTCAGGAAAAAAAAATATTTAAAGGTTGATTTCAGGACCAGCACTTGGCATAATGGCTATGTCGCTGGACTCCCATGTAGGCAACCACAGTTCGAATCCCAGACCCAGTGGCGTAAACTCACACCGGGTGCATGTGCGTGTGTGCCCAAGATCCTGAGAGGAGAATGGAAGAGAAGGGATTGTGGCGTGGCCATCCCCTCTAGGGGGGTGATTTCTCTCTTTCTGTCTCTCTCTGTCTTCCTGGTGAACGTACACGCCCTATAGCAAAAACCTCTCCAAAAAAAAAAGAAAGAATTCTCTCATGAGAGAGAGCAGACAAAATAGAAAGAAACAGCCACCCTTGGCAGAGTGACACCATGCACAACCCTTCTCCCAGCACCGCAGACAGCCAGGGTCACTGGACGCCATCTGCACGCTCAGGTCAACCTGGAATCCAGACCCGGGCCTCCATGTGTCTTCAGCATCACGTGGCATCGTCCTCCTCCTGTGCCACAGCCACGGGACCTTGATGTGCAGTTCGGATGACGCGCAGCGCTGTTAGGCGCCTGTAGTCACTCTGCCTTCATCCTCTCAGAGCTGTACTCGCCGCAGGCTGGTGGTGGTGCCCTCCCTGAGCTGTCAGTTTACTCTCTCAAATCAGCCACAGACGTGGGATTCGCACCGCGAAGTTACAACAGTGTGTAGGGTAACGGTAAACAGGTCCGAAGTGAGGGAAAGAAGGCATCGGGGGCAGCAGGTGATGTGGAGCTTAAGGGGCTGGACTCCCACATGGTCAACTGTGGTTCGAGTCCCTGACTTCGTGGCTTGAAAATTACATCGAGTACGTGTACATGTGTGCCCAAAATCCCAAGAGGAGAATGGAGGGGACGGGATTGCAGCGTCGTCATCCCCCCACCCCGGGGCATGATTTCTCACGTTCCCTCTCTTTCTGTCTGGCAAGCATATATGCCCTATGGCAAAATCCTTAAGAAAGATGAGAGAATGAGAGAAAGAAAAAGAAAAAAAGAAAAAGAAAGGAACAGAGGAAGGAATGAAGGAAAGAAAAGAAAAAGACATGAGATTCAGTCTAGATTTGGGAAATCCATCTTCAGAGTTCTCTTAAATTTGCTTCTTGGGTTTTGACAAACTTCAAATAGACAAACTGACTATAGCCATCTCTGCTCGAGAGCAGACATTGCCTGCAAGGAGGACTTTTCTATCGCACAGATATTTCCGAGGACTGGAAGGAACAGGAGAGGTCAACTAGAGAGTCAGGGACTCCTCTTCCCCCTTCAGTCCTGTCCTCGTGGGCTGAAGGTCTTCATGGCCAGTCACTTGGTCCCTCCATGTCACACTTTATCCTTCCGCAGTCAGTGGCTCTCAAAGCCGCCCATCTGGGGGTGTGAGAACTGCAGAATCCCAGCTCCTCCCCGAACCTGATGCATCAGACACTGCATTTAACGAGATGCTATTAACGTTTGAGAGGTGTCGCTCTAAACGATCTCAAGGATCCATCTCACGCAGCTCCAGAATGATCAGAAGAGTAAATAGAGTTGATTCGCTTTCTGGAAGTGAAGGCACTGTTTCCCTGTCGGCGAGGGGCAGGATGGATTGTTAGACTGAGCCGCACACTCAGGTAGTCTGTGTGGCAGAAGCAGAGGCCCAGGGAGCTCAGTCAAAGGGCTTTCTTGTGGTACGACAAAGACTGATGAGGACAATGGGATGGATTTGGGGGAGATCTCTGTCGACGGAAAAATATAACCAACTGTAAAATTAATAATTATTAATTAATGAGGTTTATTTCCAAGCCAACTGTGAGTGACCTAGGCCCGGAGAAGAGGCATACATGCCTTTTCTCGGGGTGATCACGTACAGAGGTTCCTTTTATTTGCTTTTGAGATTGACACACAACATTTAATTAAAAGATTCCCCATTGGTCTGTCCCAAAAAGGCGGGACATGTAGAAGCAGGGGGGGGGGGGCTGTGGGGTTACATTTAGAAGCAGGGGGGGGGGCTTGTAGGTTATAGGTGGGTTCCACAAATTCTTAGGTTGGAGATTGGAAGGGAAGATACCTGTCTTAGTTAAAGAAAGGCTTAATCTACATCTCAAGGAAAAGGGAAGTTCTGTGTCTTGGGAAGGGATAAGCAAAAGAATACACTAATCGGTTGAAATATGCATCTCAAAGATACTATGCTAGGGACAGGAGGTAGGAAGAATCCTGTTAATAGAAAGTAAAATGGTCTGTTAATGTTTGTGAGCATGACTTCCCCAGTCCCCTTTTGAAAAGATTTTGGAAAAATAGGAAACGTAGTCAGACTTCTGTCCACATCTCCTACAAGCTGGGCCAGACAGAGATCCCTGGGAACAGGAAATGGAGTCCCCGAAGTGACTCCGGCATCATGGCAGTACTAAAGATCCATGGCTACACTTACACCGGAAATAATAAAGCGACGTGTTTTTGTTTCTAATATGCCAGAGGGCACAGGCACCTGCCAGAGAGAGACAGCGAGACAGAGAGAGGAGGAAGAAAGAAAGAATCCCCCAGTGGGGTGTGGTCACACCGCAATCTCTTTTCCTCCATTTCTCCACCCTGTTGGGGTTTGGAGCACACATGCACACCCAGCCGTTGTGTTCTCCAAGCTGCCAGGTCTAGGACTCAGACTGTGCCACGTCTGCCAGGTACGATCTAGCTAGCTCCCTTCACCACTACGCCACAGGGCTGGCCCGCAAGCACTGCCTTTTTACAAGGTTATGCCAATCTGCTGTTGAAATGCAGCCCATCCCAAACAGCAACAAGCACCCTGATGTGTGGAAGGCAGGATGCGGTTTACAGAGAATGCCTCCCAACAGGCTCGGTGGCAGGAGGTGGTGGCGGTGTGCTGTTTCAATGTGGGGACTTCTGAAGGAATGTTATGATGGAACTTCTGACACACCAACAGCTTTTTCCCTCACCATGTGACTAGAGAGAGGTGCTTGCACATCCAAGACCAAGACCAGGTGACAGCAGGCACCTAGAGGGACACTTGGCAGGTACCCCTTCTCCCTGGGAGATACAGATTTTTTTTTTTTTGAGAGGTTTTTGTTATAGGGCGTGTGGGCTCACCAGAAAGACAGAGAGACAGAAAGTGAGAAATCACCACCTGGGGGGATGGCCACACCGCAATCCTTTTTCCTCCATTCTCCTCTCAGGATCTTGGGACACACGCACACATACCCAGCATGAATTTAAGCTACCGGATCCAGGACTCAAATCTCAGTCAACTACATGGGAGTCTAGCAACATAGCCATTACACCAACTGCTGGTTCCAGATTTTTTACTTAGAGTCTTTTGTTTATTTGTTTTTGACATCCAAGGCCAAAGGAGAACCAGGGAGTCAGTGATGTCTTCCCTCTGTCCAAATTTACAATGCAGATGGTGCTCACGCAGCATCCCCCATGGCCCCTGTCATTTTCTATGGACTTCAGAACTGTCCCACCACATCCATCACAGAGTGGAGTAGTCCTCTCCCCTCCATCTGCAGCCACCCTGGCTGCAACCTAAAAAGACCTTTCAAGTCTACTCTGCAAAGCGCAGTAAGCACACAAAAACTTAAGAGAAAAATTGGTAGGACTTATCATCAGATAATAGTATGTAAATATTTTAGAAAGAGAAGTGAGTATGATTAAAAAAAAAAAAATGCATGATTTCTCCTTGACTTTTCCCAGGCTGTGGGAATGATTCTTTCCTTGTTTCAAGGTTACTTTTTTTTTTTTTTTTTGGACAGTATTTATTACAGAATGGTGTGCATGATGGTGTGTTAGCAAATACTTCCTCCCAGTTGCTTCAGTTGTCTGGTCTATTGTGAAGCTAAGTCCACCTCTGAAAGGTGATCTCCACCTGAACAGGAGTCAGATCATTACCCTGACAGAAAGGCAGTTCTTGTGCTCCTCCTTACATTTTAGCAGCCTGCTTGAATTTTGTTTCATCAACTAGTCATAAGCAAAA